GGCGTATATCCAACACACCATTTACTTTTCTTACTATCCCTAATCATGATACGGATACTATTCTTGGCCAGTTACTTCATGCACAAACACTAACTTTCATTTCTACAACTGATTGTCTATTACTTTTTTGGATTTTATGCCAAATATGGAAATCTAGGAATAACCTTATTTTTAAAAATGAAAATGTCAAGGTCTCAATCTTTGTTTTATTTTCTACAATATTTGTTTTGAAGGGGATTGCCAATCTTTAATAAAATTAATACACAGTAAAGATTAAGATATTGCTGTTCTCAATCTTCTCCATGATATTCGTTTCTGGTTATCTCAATTTACAAAAGTTAGTATTCAGTATGTTAAATGCGAGAGCAATAATGTTGCTAATCTTTTAGCAAAACATGCACCTTCTTATTTTGTAATTTGCCCCAATAACTCTTTCACACCTAACAAACCCTTTGTACTTGGATTTTATAAATTTTTAATAAAAAATCATTTCAGTTATAAAAAAAATTAAAAATCTATCTATCAGGAAAATGTCATTCACAATGACTAATATCATTACTTTCTATAGTTGTCTACAACTACATTGTTCTTCTCAAGGAAAAATGGTTGTGAAATCCAATGACTGTTATTTTTTTCATGGTTCTTACCCAGCGATTTGTGTCACTGTGTGGTAAGTGGCTGTCGAATTATCAAAAAAGAGGTTAGATTGTTAAAAAAAAATATTACTAATACTCACATGATGTTATTGCAAAACATAAAATATTGAATTTTTTTAGGCATATGGCAACTTACTGATTATGGAGGTGTATCAAGATTGAAATTGATCAGAAAATTCCCGAGGTCTCTCATTACTAGAATAACATTTAAGTGTTGTTTATATTGCTTTATGAAAATTGAAATATGTTTGCAGAAGTTATGATTTCAATGTTTGTTTTTCGTGTTGTTGGCAATGAAGAAAGGGATGACAATGGTAAATTGGTAATAAACATTTGAGTGATGGTTAAAAAGTGGTTAGTCAAAAGTGATATGGTTTGATTATAATTAAACCTAAAAGTCCACTTGGTTATCATTTTTTTACAGTTTTGATTTATGTTTGGTTTGGTTAAAAACTATCAAACCGAAAGGTTTTTCGGTTTTAGATTATTTATATGTTCCTGTTTTCTTAAATTAGTTTAGATCCATATTTTATTTTTAGGATTAATTATCTTTATGATTTACTAGTTTAATTCATAAAATTTAAAATATAATAGAAGAAATGCTCTAAAATAATTCAGAATAAAAAAAATAATGTGAAACGAGTACTCCATTGAGAGAAAATTGTAAAAATGACCCATATTTTATATTTTTTTAAATACCAGCGCTATCATTCGAACTACTTTTACTTGTAGTCTAATGACATACTAAATGTAGACTACTGATAAACTGATTGGTCTTACAACTGAATGTAGATCATTGGCAGACTAAATACAAATTACTGACAGACTAACAACATATTAAACGCACAGTAGTAGACCCCTCTTATGAATCATTTTAGGAAATGTCAGGTTTCGTAATAAAATTGCCAAATGGATCATTTCAAAATTATCCTAATATAGTATTCATAAACGTATCTACATATAAATAATAAAAAATTGTAAACCTTAACGTCAGTAAAAACAAAATATATATATGGTTAACTCCTTATTCTTGACATTCAAAGTATTTCAGTTCTAACTTTCTAGGCATTTGATTTTAGTTTATTTCTATTTTTTCTATTTTTTCTAGTTATTGATTTTGAAAAGTTTGATACTTTGTTTTTTTTTTCATGTTTTGAAATCTGTTCTTATTTCATTATTGATATTCAAATTTGATTCCTTAGTGGTTTTTAAATACATTATAAATTTATAATTATATTTTTTTCAATGTTTATATATTATAAATTTTGTATATCGGGGATTTATAAACAATGTGAGGAGACGAACAATAGTGGCTTATAAGAATTTGTTTTTTTTTTAGTTTTTGGTTTTTATTGATTGATTTCTTATGATTTGGATACTATTTTTTTAAATTTTTTGATTTTATTTCACTTATATCTGTTATTACTATTTCTATTGGTTTGAATCAAAAATTTTCATAATAGTATAATTTCAAAAAATTCAAAATCAAGCCATACCAAACCGAACAAAGTTTTATATGAATTTTGTATGGTTTTAATTTTTTTAAAACTGAAAAAAAAACTGAACTATACAAAATCGGAATATACATGGCTTTTATATGGTCTGATTTTTTATAAAATCGATAAATCATAAAATCGAAGAAATCGAACCGAAATTGAACAATCCTATTAGTCATGGGCGTTCGGGTCTTCGGGTCGGGTTGGGTCTTTCTGTGTTCGGGTAGTTCAGGTAGAGAAGGTTAGGACCCGTTTAAGACCCGGTTGAAAATCGGTTCGGTTCGGTTTGGGTCTAGTTCGGGTCGGGTCGGATTTTAGAAATTGAGAGAAATCCGAAATAGACCCGAAGCCGAAAAAATAAAAATTAATTCAGGCCCATTTATAAGTCAGAACCCAAATACTGAGATAAGCCCACTTAAATACTCGTTAATTTCTCAACTATCTCAAAATACACTTTTTTTTGAAAAAAAAGGAATATAGATTTTTTTGGATCTGAAATTTGGATCTGAAAAATTAATTTGGTTCTTCTTCTTTATTACTGAGCGATTTTTGTCTCTTCTTCTATGATAGTTTATGTGTGAAGTGTGAACAATGAAAAGATTTGTGAGGGTGATTAAAGATTTTGATTTTGGTGGAGGAAAATGAGTGAGGAAAGAATAAATGGTTGAGAAAGATAAGAAAAAGCAGAAACAACAATTTTCTATTGTAGAGTTTTTTTTTGACAAAGGAAGAGAAAAATGAGGTGGAGAAGATGAAGAATCAAGAAGAAAAAGTAACTGGTGGAGAAGATGAAGAATCAAGAAAGAGAAGAAAGAGGTGGTGAAGATGAAGAATTAAAAAGGAAAAGATGGAGGCGCCGTTAAAGAGACATAATATTTAGGTTTTTTTTTTAATTAAGTTGATTTTTAGTTTAGGTTAAAAAAAATCAGTTTTTGTGGTTTGGTTCGGGTTATTCTGGTACCCGATCACCTGAATCGAACCGAAACCCGAACTAAAATTAATTAAAAACTAATCAGTTATTTAGTAAGAATTGAAACAGAACCGAATCAGATTTTTTCGGTTGGGTCGTTTGGGTCCATCGGATCTGGGTTAAAGCCCCAGGACTAGTGCATACCCCTAGTCAAAAAGCTGGAGAAGATGGACTTTTTCATATTCAGTTTCTTTTTAACAGGTTATGTTATAGTTAATATAAATGAGTGTATATAGAGATCACAGTCTAAGTTAAAATGATTGAAATGTATGTGAGTAAAAAAAAAATTAAATATAAATACATAAATAAATATAATTAAAACTATTTATTTTTATTCTCAATTTATTATTTATAAGTTTTAAAATAATTTTCAAACCTGTGTAAAATAATTTTCAAACTATTCTTACAATAATGTTATATGTTTTTTTCGGCTCTGTTTATTGATAGAAAATGACAGCTGAAAAAACAGAGCCCTAGATGGGAAATTGGGAATTAATATTGAATACAATTCAGTTTATATGGTAATAATATTTTTGAAATGCTCATGGTAACATACATTAACAATGATTCATTGTCGGTAAGAATATGGATGTCATGTACTAAGTGATGACTTTTGACTTTATTTTTGTATACTTGTGGAATAGCGAAATGGTCGAAAAAACGCAAAAACACAAAATTTTCATAATTGCGAGTTTGTTTATAAAAAAAATACAAAGAAATCTTTATTAAACTGAAAAGTATATTTGAAATAGATTATCTGAGAAATCAATGTTTATATTATTTAATTATATAATTAATTATATTTTATTATTTAAATAAATACAAATAATAGTTTGTGTTAAAAAAATCATTTAATGATAAAGTTATACAAGATTTGCAATATTTTCAAATTTTTATATACTTTTCTCATTTTGAAAAACAAATTCTTAAAAAATTACAATAAGAATTATATCATTTTATAATAGTTAATTGAATTATTAATATTTTATTTTTTTATAATATATAATAAAAAATTATTTTTAAATAAATATATTCTGTCATTCCGCCATTCTGCATAATTTATCTAATCGTATTAAAAAAAATATATTCCACAATTCCACAATATGTCATTTCGTAATTCTTTTTTTTTTCACTATTCCACAATTCTGCGATAAAAAAATTATGTCTCCTTTAAAAAAAAATTAATATGGTTTTTAGACCATATAAAAGTTAATGTCATCTCAATAATTTTAAAATATAGGCTGGTTAGATTGAAATATTCTAACGCACGCTCAGACTCAGACGAAGCAAGGATAGGTTTTGTTGACAACTTTATCAAATATGTAAACTATTGATAAGTAAACTATTTATGAAAATTTGAAATATGTCAAAGACTCTTGAAAATTTGATAGTTACCACATATTGCCCCTCTAAAAGTCAATAGTTACTTAATACTGACGAATGAAAAGAACAAAAGTCCAATCGTCCACCCAAAGTTTACCACAAATAATCTAATAGTTATTAATCCATCACCCAAAGATTACCACAAATAATTGATCTCCGAATAATTGTAATGTTTCTCCTTCTCTAATTGTTTTGAGCGCACGAAACATTTTAAAAAATGGCCACCAAATTGCTTTAGCCATGTTGATTGTGAGAGAGACAAATCAAGATTTCAAAGTAACAGAGAGAGTCGCTTGCGGGTCCAGCCACTGACACTGACCTTCGTTTTCTTCTACTAACTCTCTCCCTCACTGTTAAACTCCTTTAAATACATGCATTATCTTCTTTCTTCTCTCCATAACTTTAGACTCAAACCTAAAACCTGTGTGTGAGAGTGAGAGACAGAGAGACATAGATCACGCCAAAACACTTTCCTTCATTCATCGGTTTCCAAAAATGGCGACCAATGCCTCATACGCCGCCGCATTAATTATCGGCTTTTCCCTTCTCTTTGCCGTCACGGCGGAAGATCCTTACAGATTTTTCGAATGGAACGTCACATACGGTGATATCTACCCACTCGGCGTTCGCCAGCAGGTAATCAAAATCTCGTAATTAGTTACATTTATTTCTTGTTCGATTTGTAGTTCCCGTTTTAAAAAGCATTTTATTTCCCGGTTCAGGGTATTCTGATCAACGGGAAGTTTCCCGGACCGGACATTTACTCCGTTACAAATGACAATCTCATCATTAACGTCTACAATCGCCTCGACGAACCTTTCCTCCTTTCATGGTAATATTATGTTGTTTGTTTTCATCTTATTCCAAATGTAAAATCAATTGCTAATCTGCAATAACAAATGTTTTCCGATAAAAATAAAAAATTACATATATTAAGAAAAAAATTAATGTACAATCACAAAAGTATAAAAAAAAAATTCAAACAATACAATTTTCTATGAATAATCTAAACCAATTATAATTTGAGAAAGTTAATTATTTTCAATAAATATTTTAATTTGTACAAAAGGAAAAAAACTAGAAAATTTATCTTAGAATATAAATTTATGTTAATTCAACGTTTTTTTAACGCAATGTTTTAGGTTTATTTTGGTGATTGTGGTTGAATAAATTCAATTTAAAACTCATTATTAAATAATTTTATGATTTTTTTTGTATGCATGGGGTTGGGGGTGATTGATGAACAATAATAACTACACGTTTTAAAACTGTTACATGTGGTAAATGGGTCCCGCTTTACCACTGTATGACACGTTTTAATTATGTAATATTTTTAAAAATAATGTGAGCGAAAATGCAGGAGTGGGATTCTGCAGAGGAGGAACTCGTTCGTGGACGGAGTGTACGGAACGACTTGCCCAATCCCGCCGGGGAAAAACTACACTTACATTCTTCAGGTGAAGGATCAGATCGGAACTTTCTACTACTTCCCTTCCCTCGCTTTCCACAAAGCGGCCGGAGGATTCGGAGGCATCCGTATCCTCAGCAGCTCATCGATCCCCGTCCCTTTCCCAGATCCCGCCGGAGATTACACCGTCCTCATCGGCGACTGGTACAAATCCAGTCACACGGTAAGTATTTGATTGCTGTTGATGCTTGATTATGTTTGAATTCCGACCGATTTCACAAATCTTTCCAGATTTTGATTTCTCCGTTATGCGTGCAATCTCGTTTCTGTAGCTTGATTGTGTTTGAATTTCTGCCGATTTTTCAAATCCTATGTTTCGAGATTTTGATTCCAGAGTTTGTTCGCTTGGTTTGATTCTGATTTTACAAATCTTATGTTTCCAGATTGTGTTCGTTTGGTTCGATTTACAAATTTCATGTCACCAGATTATTCAAATTCCATGTTTCTCCAGATTTTTGATTTCTCAGTTATGTGTGCAATCTCGTTTTCCGTAGGATTTGAAGGCACAGCTCGATAGTGGTAAGAAGCTTCCATTGCCAGATGGTATACTCATCAATGGCCTCGGAAGTGGCGCCACCCTCTATGTTTACCGAGGTTTTTGCCCCTTTCTCCTTTATCAATTGAGTTTTACTGATATATATAGCTTATGATGTGAGTTCTTTCATCTTCTTCTTCCTCAGGCAAGACAATCAGGCTGAGAATATCCAATGTAGGGCTACAAGACTCACTCAACTTCCGAATCCAAGACCACAAGATGGTGTTGGTCGAAGTCGAAGGGACTCACACTCTTCAGATTACTTTGTCTTCCCTCGATGTTCACGTTGGCCAATCTTACTCGGTGCTTGTATACGCGGACCAGCCTGCTCATGATTATTACATGGTGGTCTCTTCTCGGTTTTCCTCAGCTGCTCTCACCACCACTGGTGTTCTCCGTTACAGAAATTCCTCTGGTGGCGTTTCTGGACCTGTTCCAGGTGGACCACCGATACAGATCGACTGGTCCTTGAACCAGGCTCGAGCCATCAGGTATCTTTCTTCTCCTCTTTGATTCAGTGTGAGAGAGCTACTTGGCTTCTCATCATCGTAAGTTTGATTTGGCTGCTTGTGCTGTACTTTCTCTTAATCCGGGCTTTTATCTGATTCTGTTAATCTTTAGATGATAGGTTCCAAAGAATTGGAGTTTTGTGAAATGATAAGTTTGATTACTTTCTTCTCCTCGTTGATTCAGTGATGATTTTATAAAATAAATGTGCAGCTACTTGGCTTCTCATCATCATAAGTTTGATTTGGCTTTTTGTCATGATTTCAATACTAAATCTGCAGCTACTTCTATTTTGCCATACGTTACAGAAAGCTCTTTAGTTAACCTTTAGATGATATACAAAATGTTTTTTTCTTTTTAAAAGTTTCTTACTGTGAAATGTTAAGTTTGATTTGGCTGGTTGTAACTTGTGTTCACTTTCTGGAGAAGAAATCTGATTTCTTGGCTTTTGTTTATGTTCTTGTTTTGTAGGAGTAACCTTACAGCGAGTGGACCAAGGCCAAATCCACAAGGATCATACCACTACGGTAGTATAAACATCACAAGAACGATCAGAATCGCCAACGCTGCTGGTCAGGTCAAGGAGAAGCAACGATACGCCGCGAACAGCGTATCGTTTATCCCAGCCGACACTCCTCTGAAACTCGCCGACTACTTCAAGATCGACGGGGTTTACAAGGTCGGAAGCATACAGAGCCAGCCCATTGGTAAAGCAATGTACCTCGACACATCCGTTTTGCAAGTTGATTACCAAGCCTTTGTGGAGATTGTTTTCGAAAACTCTGAGGATATTCTCCAGAGCTGGCATCTAGACGGTCACCATTTTTGGGTTGTTGGGTAATTGTTTATATCTTTCTTTTTATTCTCTATAGATTCATCTTTTTGCATTCACGAGACGTAACAGTAAGCAAATGGGCAACATTCTGTGACCATGAAAGATCCCTAGTAGTAATCATAGATACGTTTGTCACCATCCTTTAATTTGCTGGAATAAAAGATGGTCATCTGATACAGAATGAACGGTGGGCAATGGAGTCCTGACAGTAGGAAAGAGTACAATCTACAAGATGCAGTCGCTCGCTGCACGGTTCAGGTTAACCGCCAGTAAAAATCTAAGCATGTTTTTTTTTTGTTTGACAAATGTGAACCGTTGGATTAACAGTGTATATTAATCTACAGGTGTATCCAAGTTCATGGACGGCTATATACGTGGCACTGGACAACGTAGGGATGTGGAACCTAAGATCCGAGTTCTGGGCAAGTCAGTACTTAGGACAACAGTTCTATGTACGTGTCTACACAAACTCAACTTCTCTCAAAGATGAAAGCTTAATTCCCAAGAACGCTCTTCTCTGCGGTAGGGCTACAGGTCGTCGCACCAGACCGGTTTGAGTGGCCGTTAGATAAGATAGAGAGACTTGTCTCGATTCTTATTCATTTTTTTTCTTTAATCTCCTCCGGAGAAAAACTTTATTCGGTATATAATTATTTGGTTTCGTCGTAAAACCTTATTGACATTGTGTTACTTACAGTCTCCTATGAAATAATGAATCTTCAGTTAACAATTCCAAACACACTTTTTTCAACAACAAAAAAAAAAAAAAAACAATTCGAAACACAACTTTTATAGTCCTACTTAGTTAGCCTCAAATTCTATAATCTGTGTACTTTATCACAAAATGGCCAGCTCTCCAAATCCTGATCTGCTTCTCGCTCATAATCTTCATGAGGTGTGTTTTCGTTTTCACATCCTTATTGATCCGATCAGATCTTCCGTGATGAAGACGGGCTTGTCTGTAATCTCATTCTCACCTTCATTTTTGCGGTTTGTGGAGGAAAGCACAACTTTATAATTTTGGCAGAAAACAAAGTTTTAGGAAGAAATATCAAATTTAAGTTATGATTGTGAATGGTATTTTTTCATATTTACCATCAAATATTTTTTGGGTAAAAAATACCAATGATGCTGAGATTTTCTAAATCTAACATCTAACATGCTTAAGCATTATAGGCTAATGTGTCATTACTTTCTTTTTTTCACTTTAAAATTCAATTAATTTATTAGGGTATTCTTATTGCCAAACAGTATATTTAATATAAAAATTTCTTTCTTTTAATTAACTCAATTTTGTTCCTACTACTATTTCTATATCCAAACACTATTTAATGTGATAACTAAATATTTGGCCACATTTCTCCTTCTCTTTAATTCGAATTTTTGAAATAAATAACTACAATTTTGAATTTACATAATATTCCTATTTTCAAACGGTTTTAAATCATTTTTTTACACAAAATAATTGAAAGTTCAAAAATTAAAACATATCCTAGCAAATATTCTTATTTGTATAACATTTTCAAAATAATTATTTGATGTATCAATTAATGGTATTTAATTTTGTAATGTTCTAATTAAGTAATTGTTTTTTTAATAAAAACATTATTATTTAATCAACTATTTTCAAAATTAAATACCATTAATTGATAAGTCAACTAATTTCCAAAATTGATTGTCATTAACTGATAATAGATATTTACAGATGGAAATAGATGCTTTTAGAAATAGAAATCTCGAAATAATAGTCATAAATAATTTCATATACAAGCAAAATCAATTTAAAAATATCGGAACATATCTTTAAAAAACCAATATACAGATTTATCAAATTTACGAATTTCTTTAACTAACCTAACAAGATATTCTAAAATATCTAAACAAAGCAAAAATTAATTAATTAATATCAGATTTATGAAATTTTAAATTTCGGGCTAAACATAGATTGTTTAGCACACTTTCTCTTCTCTATAAATAAAAATATATATTCTCTACAATAGTTTCAGATTGCATTGTTCATCGTCTATAATTATTTTTTATCTTTAAATATTAAAATGTTGGTTACTAATGTTAAATAGTGCTTTTCATAAGTAAAAATTAGCAAAGTGGTCTGATCGTGGTGGTGATATTGTATTGCTTTGTCTCCAAACATGTAATTACTTTCATGTTTTTTTCTTTGAGTATGTGTTTTTATTTTTTTTTGGTGTTAAAAACTCTCTTTGTTTATTATCTTTGTTGCTTTATCGTACATTATCATTTATCTAATATATATATATATATATAAATTAATATAGTATTATGTACTTTGGAATTTTTTAAATTTCGTGTATGATTAGTATTGATTTTTTTTTTAACTTCTTTACTGTATATTAATACAAAATAATTCATTTTACATGTTAAAATTTTTATACAACTATATAACCTAAACCAATAAAATAAGAATCGAAGTCATATTTTTAGGTATTTACATAATTCTAAAATAAAAAAAAATAAATATGAATTTTAAAAATGTCATGCATAAAATAGATTCAAATATATGGTATAAAATCAATATATAGTTCAAATCATCAATATACAATCAATATAAATATAAATAAATTAAAACAAAATCAATTTTTTTAATTATTTTATAAATCTTATCCCGCACGATCGTGGGGGTAATAACCTAGTATTTTATTAAACTGGTTGACAAAAACACTCCTATTATGGTAAAAAAAAAACTAGAAGCGCCTCTATACGCATCACTGAGTAACTTTCTTAAGAGTGAAACCTTAAAACTCAATTTTAAAGTATATTGCATCCGTTCATTTCCGAGCAATTTCCAACATATTTTTGAGATAATTATCGAATTATGAATGTATTCATATATCAAAATTGAAGTTTGATTGAATGAAAAATGTTTATCTAATGTTTGTTGCTTAAAGTGTACAAAATAGACTAGTCAAATATTATAGAGAAGTCCAAACAAGGTGAAATCTTTGAAAATATCTTGTGAAGAGTGAGGAGAAAACCCATGCATACTAAGTCGTTATGGACTTGGGCATGGATTCGGATTTATGTAAATGCAATAAACTTTCATCTTCAATTTTGTCATTAAGTTAGTGGTTAATACCACGATTAATACAGCAATAAAAATCTCCATTATATCAAAAAATATTTAACCAAAAAATATTTTGGGTTAAATTAAATAGAGACTTGAAAACTCTCAATTCTCATGCACACAAATCTCTTCACCTTTTCCTAGTTTATTTTTCTTTGGTTTTTTTTATGAGAGTACAACACAAAAAGATTTGAAAGCTTATGAATTAAAAGTGATACCAATCATAAGAATAATGCAATTCTATCTTGGCATTCGGAACGTCATGCAATCGTCACACTACAGGGCGTTTACAGAATTAAGAAAAAAGATCACCACGTCTCGACGTAATCCATTTTCCTAAATTTTTGTTTAATCGGTATCATTTTATAGTCTTTTTATCGATTTATTTTATGTAATTTCTTCGTAAATTATTAGTTTGCCAGTTGTAGTAATTACATTCCTACAATCTTAATTCTGTAAATTTTTGTTTATGCTTATTGCACTAACGGACGCTGATGATTTTGTGAAGTATTTTTGTTTTAAGAATAAGAATCTGGATCTTAAATCTGTATCCGATCAATTAATTTCATAAAATTCAGGTTATTTTGGTTCTGAAATTTGTTGTTTATTCAACAAATTCAGAAAACATATTTCTAAATTTATTTATTGTATTTTCAGTTTTGTCGATAACTGAAAAATTATTTGAAAATGCTTAGACAGTTATTTTAATTGTTTAAATTTGTCTTTACTTTTTATCTGATCAAATTCTGAATTTTTTAGATTTAAAAAAATTATTTATAATTATCAATAAAAATTATACTTTTTTTTTTTTTTTGACAACATAAATTTTTTGACAACATAAATTATTTCTGATTGCTTATGTTTAAATTATTTTGGGATGTCATGTGGAGGTGTATGATTTGTCTGAGGAGTGGAGCTGTGCTTTTGAGTTTCGTCTTCTGAGGGAAAGGCGACGAGTCGTTCTGGGGCGGAAGCCTGCTTGAGTCCTACTAGCGGGGAGGTCGACGTATGCGGTCCTGCAAACACTACACAAAAGGTCAATCGGACCTTCAAGAAGACCAAAAAGGGGTTTCTCTCCCGAAGGTTCTCCGACGCCCAAGCCCATAAACGTCCTACCGGGAACAAATATTCAGGAGGGTGTTTCTACGGGTTTGAGTAAGAAGTCTGATATATCATGGTTTTTATGATTTTTTAACCATGGTCTAAGTCCTTTTTATTAAGTCTTTTTGGTCTTTTTAGAGTCCTAGTAGAGTCTTTGCAGGTTATAGCATGTCTGGAGCATAATTGGAGATATTGAAGCTTTTTTGGAGCATTGCAAGGTGAAGCCAGTATGCAACTCGGAAGGCGATTGATGACTTGGGTGACGCTCGTCACCCTTAAGGTGACGCTTGTCACCCGTAGAGGAAGGAGTCGTGGCCTTGTTTTTAAAAGATGAAGAGTTATATGCAAAATTGGCCCAGAAGTTTCAGTATTTGCAAGAACACCCCAGATCGTGTTTTAGCTTGTATATATTAGGTTTTCAGCTATTGTTGGCTTTTATCTTAGATTTTGAGAATTCAGAGAGCTTTAGAGAGGATTTTCTTCAGAGCTTTTGGGAAGACATATCTTGTACTCTTTTTGGAGAAGATTTGAACCCTTTGTCTTTTATTCTATTCTTTCAATGCAATTTTATTCAGCTATGCTTTGTGATTCCATGATCATGTCTGAGTAATTTGCTAGTTACGTTAGGGCTTTTCAAAGGTTGATGAAGAGTTTGTAGAATTGCTATCTGTTAGGAATATCTGTTGGTTCTTCATCTCTGCTTGCTTTAAAACCGATTTCTTAAACACATCATCTAAAAATCCGAAAATCATAGGTTGTTCAATAGATGTGAGAGCATTATTGATAACCTGATCGAGCATTAGATGAGCAAAACGATTTAGTGCAAAGATATTTGGCTTAGGAGTTTTGTGAACAATTGAACCTGATCATTACTGCATGTTTAGATTGTTATGGTTTGCAAAGAGATTTGAAACTCTGTGATTTAGACATAGTTAACTTCTGCAATGAGAATTGATTAGTTATATATTTGCGATTCATGTTCAAGACGATGCTTATTCATTCCTGATTTCATGCATTCTACATCCTCGGATTCAACCTGCGAATTTTTTTGACTTAGCGCTTTTAGTTTTCTGAGTCTTAGATCAAACAAATTTCGCCTGGTTTCCTTTATTTTGTTATTTCGCCTTACATACACTATTTATTGCTTAGCTTAATCTGAATCTGAAATCGCTACTGTAGTTTACATATTCCTTTGGGATTGATACCCCTTATACTACGACTGCTTTGCTGTGCATTTGCAGTAGTTTTTATTTGGGTAAAACCTGAGCCCTATCAAGTTTTTGGCGCCGTTGCCGGGGAGTAATAACTGCCTATCGATTTTTAGTATTATGATTATGTCTAAGTTTTAATTTGTTT